TGTGTGTGAGAGGGAGTGTGTGTGTGAGAGGGAGTGGGTGTGTGAGAGGGTGTGTGTGTGTGTGTGTGTGTGTGTGTGTGAGAGTGAGTGAGTGTGTGTGTGTGTTTATATGCATAACTAATACACCGTACACACACACACGGGTCAAAGACGAAAAAGGGTTTAAGCGTTAAAAACAATACGTGTTTAAACTGTTGTTTTTCCCCCAAAAAATGTACAAAAAAATACTGTTTAATTTAATTGCAATTTTGTTTTTGTGTTTCCGAGCAAAAAATAAATATCATAAATTTTCCCCTGATTTACAGAAGAGACTAAACTATCATTCAGTGTAACGGTCTTCTCAGGCATATTTACGACCAACAAAAATCAATTTAGGACACATTAACAGACTAATAACTTTCACCCCAAATACTGATTAATTCTATCCTAGCTTTTGCCCAATCATCAGTAAGAATTTTTACTAATTTAAAACACAATCAAATGTAACATGTTCTTATTCTTTTATATATTTTAATATGCACACGTCAGAATAAGTATGTTTTTTAGAATTTTTACATAACTATGAGTGTTACACTGAATGACTTCAACCAAATTGTAACATTTTATTCTCCGAACACTTAAAAGTAGACACTTTGCTTACGTTCAACGTGCTTTCTATGGACGTAAATCAGCTTAATCGTCTTGACCCACGTATATTCTGTAAAGACAGACCTTTGTTTTGGATGCGAGTGAATGCAGCTGTGATGTAAAGCCTGTGTTGTGCAGCTCTGGCATGGAGTCTCCAGCGGTGGATGATGATATCTGTATCCTGAAGCACGAGACGGCGTACGTCTCGCCCGAGAGCCCCGTGTCCGCGTGCGCCGGAGACGAGTCGGTGGCGTCTCACTTCGCTCTGGTCACCGCCTACGAGGACATCAAGAAGAGACTCCGAGACACGGAGAAGGAGAACGGCCTGCTGCGCCGGAGAGTCAAGCAGCTGGAGGACAAGGTCTTTAACACGTTCAACACTGAGGATTTACGTGAACTCAATCTGTTTCAAGTGTATTGCGTTTCTGAATGATGGACTCATTATAATAGTATCAACTTGATGAATATCATTACATTAAGTGTTACTATTATTATTGAAACATTGAATATTATATTTTTTACATTATTAAAATTGCTATAGTTGTATTATTAAATCATTTTTATTGTGCTATTATAAATTATGGTGCTAAAATATTACAAATTATATTTTTCAATTATTTAACCATTACATTATTAAATGTCATTGGTAAAATATTAAATATTTATTATTGAAATAATAATAATAATATGAAATTATTTTATTGTATAAAATTATTCAATATCACTAGTAAAATATAAAGTATTATATTATTGGATTATTATTTTAATTATGTCAGTTTATTAAATGTCACTAGTAAAATATTACATTTTTATTATTGAAATAATAATAATAATTGTTATTATGAATAATATCAGATTATTTTATTGTATAAAATTATTAAATATAACTAGTAAAATATAAAACTATTTTTAATTATGTTAGTTTATTAAATGTTACTAGTAAAATGTTAATTACTATATTGTTGAATTATTCAAGTAATTTTGTGGATTTAAATTATTAAATGTCACTAAAACATTAAATATTATATTGTTCAGTTATTGAATTATTTTATTAAATCTTACTAGTAAAATATTATTATTTTTATTGTTGAATTATTACATTTTTATATGATTAAATATGGCTATTTTGTCAGATTATTTAATTATCTTATCATTAAATTATTACATGTTACTTGTTAAATATTAAAGAATATATTATTGAATTATTACATTTATGTTGTTAAATGTTACTAGTAAAATATTAAATATTTATTATTGAAATAATAATAATCATAATTAATTTTATTATTAATAATATAAAATTATTTTATCGTATAAAATTATTAAATATCACTAGTAAAATTGTTAATATATTATTGGGTTATTCTTTTTAATTATGTTCGTTTATTAAATGTCACTATTAAATATTGTTCAGTTATTGAATTAATTGTATTATTAAAAAAAAATTTTATTGTTGAATTAAATTTTTATATGATTAAATATTACTATTTTGTTAGATTATTTAATTATTAAATGTTACTTGTTAAATGTTTAATAATATATTATTGAATTATTACATTATTTTATATCATCAAATGGTACTAGTAAAATATTAAATATGAATATATGGTTGAATTATTAAATTGCTTTTATTATGTGAAATTATTAAATGTCACATAAAATATTAAATATTATGTTTTTGAACTATCAAATTAGTTTTATAGTATTAAATGTTACTAGTAAAATATTAAATGTTATTAGTAAAATCAATTTAAAATAATTGTTTGTTTATTTAGTTTATTTAGTTTTTACACATTTGGAGCCTGCAGGGCCGGACAGGTGCGTCTCCACCTCTGTGCTACACCCCTGTCTCAGTGATCACAAGGGTCTGAAAACTGAGAAATTAACATGGATCATTCACTAAAAGCGCGTGTAAGTCATCCAGTGTGTTTCCGCAGCATTTCCGTCCGGAAGCGCCTCCGTCTGAAGGACCGCAGTACATGAACAAAGCCTTCAGCGCGTACCGCGGCATCTACATGGAGAAGGAGGACTTACAGATGGAGCTCAATAAAGTGGTACTTCAGCTGCTCGTCCTCCTCGTGTGTGAGAGTCAAACCCTCGTGAGTGCAGATGATAAGATGATTCTGCCTTCTCTTCCAGAAAAAGGAGAAGCTGGATTTAGAGAAGCATCTGACGGAGCAGCTGCAGGCCAAAGAACTGGAGCTTCTGCAGCTCAGATCGGAGATGGAAACAAGCCAAGGTGAGATATTCATATTTTCGTGTTTATGAAGATCATACTGTACGAAATCCGTGAATAATGTTGCTGCAAATGCTTTCTGTATTATCCGTTTATTAAATAATATTACATTTTTAAATGATTAAATAGTATAGTTTTAAATTATTCAATATTTCTTATGTTATTGAATTACAAAATTATTTTATATGATTAAATGTTGCTAGTAAAATATTAAATATTCTTCAAGAAAAAAATCAAGTTGGTAAGTTTTCTGCACTTTCTCAATAAATTAAATTAAGTATTATTCAGCTATCATGAAATATTATTGCAATATTAAGGAATATAATGTTATTTATAAATGCATAGATTAAATGCATATTAAATATTACTATTTTAAATTAAATATTATTACATGATTAATGTATTAAATATTGTGTTGTTAGAAAAATAATAAATGTTGTTGAATTATTAAATCATTAAGAGTGGCTAGTAAAAAAGTCATGTTGTGAATTATTAATTACATTTTATATTGTTAAATGTTACTAGTAAAATATTAATAGCATTACTAAGATACAGTATAAACCTAGTTTAAATAATTAACTTTCTCAGCAAATGAACACAAAAATGATACTTTTGGTGTAACAATGCATATAGACAGTAAGATCTATCCAAATGTATTTGTACTAAAACACTTTAAAACGAAATATGACACATTGAGGCTGTGATGATGTGAACAAATTATTAGTATGTAGTATATTGTGAATGTTCAGCATGGCCTGTTGTATTGAATATTGCAGTTCAGCAGGTGTTGTAATGCTGTTTTTCTCCTGTCAGTGATGAAGAGTCTGACGGATACGGCGGATTACTGGCAGGTGGACAGATGCAGCAGTGAAATGAAGATCCACTCGCTGCAGGAGCAGCTGGAGCGCTTACAGATAGAGAACGACGCGCTGCACAAGCTCTGCAGGGCCGGACAGGTGCGTCTCCACCTCTGTGCTACACCCCTGCTACACCTGTGTTACAGCCTCGCTACACCTGCACTACACCTGTGTTACAGCCTCGCTACACCTGCACTACACCTGTGTTACAGCCTCGCTACACTTGCACTACACCTGTGTTACACCCCTACTACACCAGCATTATGTATCTACACTACACCTGTGTTACACCCCTGCTACACCTGCACTATACCTATTACACCCCCACTACACCTGAACTACACCTGCATTATATATCTGCACTACACCTGTTACACCCCTGCACTACACCTGCGTTACACCCCTGCACTACACCTGCGTTACACCCCTGCACTACACCTGCGTTACACCCCTGCACTACACCTGTGTTACAGCCCCGCTACACCTGCATTATATATCTGCACTACACCTGTGTTACACTCCTGCTACACCTGCACTACACCTGTGTTACAGCCTCGCTACACTTGCACTACACCTGTGTTACACCCCTACTACACCAGCATTATGTATCTACACTACACCTGTGTTACACCCCTGCTACACCTGCACTATACCTATTACACCCCCACTACACCTGCATTATATATCTGCTCTACACCTGTTACACCCCTGCACTACACCTGTGTTACAGCCCCGCTACACCTGCATTATATATCTGCACTACACCTGTGTTACACTCCTGCTACACCTGCACTACACCTGTGTTACACCCCTACTACACCAGCATTATATATCTGCACTACACCTGTGTTACACCCCTACTACACCAGCATTATGTATCTACACTACACCTGTGTTACACCCCTGCTACACCTGCACTATACCTATTACACCCCCACTACACCTGAACTACACCTGCATTATATATCTGCACTACACCTGTTACACCCCTGCACTACACCTGCGTTACACCCCTGCACTACACCTGCGTTACACCCCTGCACTACACCTGTGTTACAGCCCCGCTACACCTGCATTATATATCTGCACTACACCTGTGTTACACTCCTGCTACACCTGCACTACACCTGTGTTACACCCCTACTACACCAGCATTATATATCTGCCCTACTCCTGTGTTACACCCCTACTACACCAGCATTATATATCTGCACTATATGCTAAACCTGTGTTACTCCTCCGCTACACCTGTACTACACCCGTGTTGCACACCTGCTACA